TGGTACTTTCAGTGCAAAGACGCTTGATACAATTGGTTGCTGCCAAGAGGGTCCGGGTTCAATTACCACCAGACGGAAAATAAAATGAATTTTTTTTTCTTCTTAATTACGAAAAAGCATCTGTGCACTTCACAACGACATATTTTATAACGTACATACTCAAATTTAAAACGAGTTGGGTTGGTGCTCTTTCATATGCGTATTTTTTTTAAATTTAGCACGTTTTTTTTATTCTAAAGTGTTTTCCCCTTAGTGTACAATTAGGTAATTTTTCTTTTTATTTGTGAAAAGCATTGTCAGTTTTCTCAGACTTTACTTTACGTTTTGATCTTTAGCATTGTCAAGACCACGTTTCCCTGCTTTTGGAATAAAAATTACTTAAATCTTCCTTCGTTTTAGTGGGCGTGGTTCAGTATTAGGTACCCTCTAAAAATTGCTTCCACGACCGGAAAGACCCTCTCCGAGGCTACTTAAAGCATGATTGGCAACATTCCATCTATACTCGTCTATATAAAGGGTGACAACTTGAAAATAGCAAGTTTGGTATTTTCCCTCTACAGAACTGGTTGGCCAATAAACCAATGCATTTGTAGGGTGTCCTAGACTATCCGTCCACCCCTGTAAAAACAGAAGAACTTGATCTTTACTGCAAAACGAAAAAATGTGAACCACAAAGTCAGGGATGCTTTAAGTGGGTTAACTTGACCAGAGGTCGATTTTTCTTACTACACATTTGGATTCAGCTGACAATAATACGTAATTTTTGTTAGAAACTTTTTCTGAAGAAAGAATCGTTCAATTTGTTAACCACAGCTAATCTCGAACAAATGTTAACTATTTAAATCAGGGACGTGAACCGGTTTTGAACCGGAAACCGCTTTTTTCTATTAATTAACTGAACCATTAACCGAACCGGAATTTTTCAAAAATGTTTGATCCGAACCGAAAACCGAACCACTTTCTATAAAGGTTTAAAGGTTCGTTTCAACTTATTTTCAATAGATAAATGTACTACTTTTTTTCTTTTTGTTTAGCATGGTAATACCTACTATGTTTGTTTACCATGAGACAATATAAAATGTAAAGGCAAGCGATGTCATTTGACAGATACTTGACCCTTAACCTTGCGCGTTGTTGCACTTGACACTTGACACTTAAACTTGCGCGTTATATTTTTGTTTTTCGAACCGTTCAACCGAACCGAAACGCCGGTTCAAATACCAAAAAAACCCCTTCGACGAACCAATCCAAAAGTGCAAAAACGGTTCGAACCGCTGAACCGAACCGACCAAATTTTTCATCCGGTTCCCGTCCCTGATTTAAGTAGTTAAATAGGGACATGACATTTTTTCAAAGTTTGCCTATTTTTCCTTCGTTTATTTAATATTTATTATTTTTTATAAAATTGTAGCCCATTCACTAACAAAACCCATATAAATTCATATTCAAACTCTGTGCAAAAATTATAAAAACTGCAAAATTTCATCTAAATTTTCAACTTTTTATACAGATTTTTCAGAACTTTTTTGAGTATGCAGTTTTCTAGCCCATTAAATTTAATAGAATGAAGTGTAAGTTTTAAGTTGCTAAAAAATCGCGTTGATTTTTGGCAATTTTTTTAACGCATTTTCTTCCATACAAAGTATGATCGACATATTTTTTTTTTGTTTGGAAAAAAGTGGGTATACAAAAAAAAAAAATAATCCGACGAACTGATAACCTCCTCCTTTTTTGGAAGTCGGTTAAAAATCAAGGCGATTTCTTAGGAAATTCAAACTTGCACTTTATTCTGAGTTAAGTTTTCTCAAGTGGGCCACCCAAAGTTGAATTTGCGATTTTTTATATTTCATTGACCGATTTTGAAAGTTAACATGGTGTGCAATATTGACACCAAAGATTTTGGGTTAATTTTATTTTTTTGACGAGTTATTTGCAAACACATTTTTATACAGGCTTTTACACTTTTTCAAATATTTCGGCAACCATTCATTCGAATCTTATCGATTTTTTATAGCAATTAGAGAACCTATTGGGCAACAAAACAAAGTGGTCAATTTCAATTTTTGTTTTATAAAAAATTTAATTTTTTTAATCAATTGAATTTTTTACCAACTTCTAATATACCTAAGAAAAGAATTCAAAAAGCATTATTTGCGCTAAACATTCAATTCTACTTTCGTAAACAAATGACTGACTTAAAAGCTTTTTACCAACAAGAATGAACCAATATGATACAAATGAACTGAAAAAAAATAATCTAGGTATATAAAAGTTTGAAAAAAATTCAATTGATTAAAAATTCAAATTTTTTATAAAACAAGAATCGAAAGTTTACAAACTGACCACTTTATTTTGTTGCCCAATAAGTTCTCTAATTGCTGTAAAAAATCATAAGAATCGAATGAATGCAAAAATTTCAAAAAGCGTGAAAGCCTGTATAACAGTTTGTTTGCAAATAACTCGTAAAAAAAATAAAATTTGCGCAAAATCTTTGGTGTTAATATTGCATGTTAACTTTCAAAATCTGTCAATGAAATATAAAAAATCGAAAAGTTAACTTTGGTTGGCCCACTTGAGAAAACTTGACTATCTACTAAATTTTAATGGGCTATAAAACTTCATACTCAAAAAAATTCTAAAAAATCTGATTTGAAAATTTAGATGCAAGTTTGCAGCATTTTTACACAAAGTTTGAACTATGAATTTATATGGGTTTTTATTAGGTAATGAGCTATAAATATATAAAAAAAATAACAAATATTAAATAAGCAAAGGAAAAATTTGTTAAAATGCCGTGTCTCTATTATTTTTCCACCACTATATGTACATATGTCGGCCGCTGTGGTGTAGTGGTAAGCAGTGCGCGTTTCCACTCCGCAACGCCTGGGTTCAAGCCCTGGTCAAAGCAACATTGCAAAAAATATCGAAAAAAAAGGTTTTTTCTTAACAGCGGTCGTCCCTTGGCAGGCAATGACAAACCTCCGAGTGCATTTCTGCCATGAAAAACAGCTTCTCATAAAAATACAATCGCCGCTCGGAGTCGGCGTAAAACTGTAGGTCCCTCCGCTTTGTGTCACAACATCAAGGCGCACGCCACAAATCGGAGGAGAAGCTCGGCCAAACCGTAATATATGTGTAAGCCAATCTATTATTATTATTATATGTACAAAACTTGGTATCGATTGGCGCTTACACAATAGGCTGTATGCATTAAGGAAATGACAAGTGACTGTTAGGTAATTTTCGTTGGATAAAGTAGTCCGGCCGTCACAAGTTATACCAACATATCGTATTTCCGTCGAAATATCTCTGAACTTGCTTTCAGCCAAATCGAATTTCCAAAATTTCGTTATTTAAAAAACTCATGTCCTTTACATTGATGACTTCGAAATTTTGCCGGGTAATAGGACTGATCGGAAATTTGCAATAATTATCAAGTCATTATTTTGCGCTGAAAGACGCTAAAACTCACAAATTTGGAAGTCAATTGGGAGTTAAATTCATCTGTTTTTCCTTTAGTATTCTATGTACATATGTATGTAAGTACATAGTCATATCGTCAGTTCGTTTTTTAAAGTGTTGCCACCTAATAAATAATTAAATACAAATTATTTATATGTTAAACCAATTATAATATGGGTATGGATCGAAATGGTATTCAATCCTTTATTTCTTCATTATATGTAGGAGGGTTGCCACCTATGTATAAAGTAGGTTAAATGAGTTACAATATGAATATCAATCAAAATAGCTTTGAAAAACTGTATTTTAAATTACATGTAGGAGGATTGCCACTTGTTTTGAAAACTTAATTCAACTTCATTAGGAGAATTAGGTATTTTAAATATGTATCGCAATTTGGGTGTCAGATAAAAAAGGATTAAAAAGGTTTAGTTTGAAATTATTGTAAACAGGGCTGCCACCTGTTTGCAAAGTTAAATGCAATACATGCAATAGCTTAAACGAATTACTACCATATGGATATCAATGAAAATGCCGTTGAAGGAACTTTATTTGTAAACTACTTGCAGAAGAACTTAAATTAAGGCGATTGGAAAATGTATCCCGATATGAGTGTCAGACGAAAGAGATTGTGGTTTGATTTGTGGTGCTTCTGGTGGAACTATAACGCTTTCCTGGTGAACAAGTACCATTAAGCTGGGAAATATTATTTTTTATTGCCAAATATGTATACCAAATCTGCACCGCGATCAAAACAAAATGGTATTTGTATTTCACATTCGTTTTGTTGTTTCCATTCTTCGGACTAAAAATATGGTTTTTGAATTCCTTTATTCTTTCTGGTTATTCTGTTTTAGTGAGCGAATTTTTCTTACGCTCTTGCATTTTGACACTTTTCGGAATTTTGTAAGAAAAGATACGGAATGGACCTTATTTAAACAAATAAGCAAATTAATTATGTACTGCTGTTATCAACAATAGGAAAGATTAAGACCTTTCATTTTGACGCAGCTAATCAGTATCATCTTTGTGAAATTAAGCGAAATAATGAAATGATTTTTGATGAGTTTACAATATCTTAATATAGCTCCAAATGTTTGTGTAGAAATCTTTGGTTTCTCTCGTTCGCTTGTACTCTGTTTATGCGAGGCAACTTTTGTTGTGACAACTGGAATCGACGAGGAAAAGATAAAGCTAGAGACACCGAGCTCCTTTCTCAAGGAGGTTTTAAACTTTTTTAGCACTTCAAATGCATTTTTTAAGAGCAAAATTTGTATTTAAAGTGCAGATAAATTAAATAAAACTTTCTTGCGAAAACGGCCCTTAGTGAATTAAGTTGGCGGTTAACGGCTGGCACATTTGCGCAATAAAAAGTTGATAAGTGTAAGTGAAACGAGCAACACTAAATGATATGTAATTCCAAACATTGCGTTGACGAAAGTTTTCGCGTGTAAACTCTGTCTTAGCAAATTACAACCATTTAGTAATACTTTTATTTTTATTCTAGATTCTAGATTTCTATTTGACGCTTTTGGATGTAAACAAAATTCCTATTAACTGTTACTAAAGCTGGTAAGTTTCGAATTTTGCGTCGTTACACTTTGGAGGATTTTTTTCTGAGAGCAAATACATACTATCAAATTCTGAAACATTTTGCTTCTGGATGTTTTCGATTGGAAAAATACGAGAACTTCCCAATTGTCTTTTGTATCTACTAACAGGAGATTGGTTCAGCTGTTCCTGAAACTAGCGCTGGTGTTTGCACCATAGTTATCCATGCTTTGCACATTCGCCTTACATCGAATAAGCTCTTGAAAAATTACATGTTTAAACATTATTCTGATTTCATTTTTATTAAGTTTAGTTCGGTTGAAGTCACTTACATGCATACATGATTTTATTTTAATTTTAATGAAAACGAAAATTGATTTATTCTGAATTAAAAAAGTTACTTCCGCGGACGGTCGTTGCTAATTTGGTACCGTGTGACTTCATATGCCCACTAAGGCCTGCAAATTGGGCAAAACGTTTTCCACAAAGTTTACATGAATATTTCTTTTCAGCGTTGTGGATAAGCTGATGCTGTCGCAATTGCTTACCACTTGTAAAGCCCTTGTTACATACGCTGCATATTTGGTCTCGTATATTCCTATGAACGGCCATGTGCTCGTGTAACGTTCCAGTTTCATAGAACATTTTTGGGCAAAGTTTGCATTGGTAGCGCGGTCGTTTTTGATGGCGCAACATATGTACTAAAAGGTGCGAAGACGTTCGAGATCCCTGACCACAAATAGAACAAATAAATGGCTTTTCGCCTGTGTGCGAACGCATGTGGATCTTAATTTCTGTTGATGTGGCGCAGGGCTTATCACATATCTCGCATTTGTATATATAGTCGTGTACGTGTCTTCGCAAATGGACCGTTAAATTCGATACCAGCTGGAAGCCATGCCCACAGAGATGACATTTAAATGGTAGCGAACCGTCATGAGATGCCAAATGTACTTTGTACTGACCTAAACCTGGCAGTAATTTTCCACACTCCGAGCACTCAAACGGGGGAACATCGACCTCGAGGTATACAATGCTTTTGTGAAACGAGCATGTTGGTTGATATCTTTGTTGTTTTCGCTTGCATAATACTTTTTTTTTCTTTTCAACGGAACAAAATCTTCGTAGTCGTGTAATTTCATATTCCATTTCATGTTTAGTGAGATCCAAACCAGCTCTTTCATTAACTTCCAAATGCAACGTCTTAAGTGCCTCATCGCGTCTATTTTTGAACCTATAGGCAATTTCGTTTTCGTCCCAAAGGCAAGTGTAGTTCTTATAAATATCAGCTAAAAGTTCATATTGCGCGTCCTCTAAACTGCTTCTTGGTATTGTAGTCTCTGTCGAATTTTTAATTGTCGACTTTGATGTAGCCTAAAAAAATTATAATTGTTAAAAAATACTTATAAACACATAGATATTTACTTATACAGGGTGGTCCATATAGGGTTTTTTTTTTAGATTAAAAAAAAAATTACAAAGAGCGTGTGTGAATCGGTAACAAAGTTCGCGGCGAGTAAATTTTTGACAACTACCAGGTGAATAAAATTTCAGTAGCTCATGAGGGTAGTGAAATTTTTGACAAATGCATAGAAAATTTTGACAATCGCAAAGATTGTTGATGTTGTAATTTTTCGTTAAATAAAAGCTTAAATAGATGAATTGCAATCAACGATGGTAGATGTTTTCTTAAAATATTCATTTCACTTCAATTTGTAATATTTTTTTACAAATAAATCTGCGGTTATCAAAAATTTACTGCTGTCAAAAAATATTTCATTTCACACAACAGATTGGCAAAACTGTCTCACCATAGTAAAAATATTATTCAACAGCTTTCCCCATAGAACTTTGTTACCGATTCACACACGCCCAAAATTAACAAAATTATATGTTTACCATATATCGACTGCTGAGTGGAAGATCGACCTATCTCGGCAGCCAATTCGAAAACGCCCTATCTCAAAAAACTTTTAAAAGACGCCCTATTTCAGAATTTGGTTGAAGAACGACCTACTACAGCATTCGTTTCAAAAACGCCCTATATCAGCACATTTCCAATACATTTTGAAGTGAGATCGGGAATTTTTGAATTGTATTCTGAAATAGGGCGTTCTTCAACCAAATTCTGAGATGGGGTGTTTTTCAATAAAATTCTGAAATAGGGCGTTCTTGAAAAGTTTTTTGAGATAGGGTGTTTTCGAACTGTATGTTACCGCATAACTTTGGACGACGTTAACCAATTTCTATAATTCTTTTTTTTTTATTATTTTAATGACAGGTGTTACCTCACAGGCGGTCCATTCTAACTTGGTGTAAATCTTAAATTTTTATATGAGAATTAGTCGGTTTTGTTTTTTGCCTAAAAATTACGTGTCAAAATTCAGGAGCGGTTTATTAATTATTATTGAAAAGCAACTCATATGAAAAATTAACAAAAAATACAGTTTTTGCAAATCTATGAGAAACTCTGCTGCCGCTGGTGGTGGCAGGGGATAAAACAACCAGTTAGAGAAGGACTTGGTATCAGTTGGCATTTCTAATTTGTGTCAATTAAACTAAAAGGGAATCGAATAGCGCGCTTTATTGGATTTGTCCGATATATAAAATACTACACCGCTTTATGTGTAAAAAGTTTAGTCTTGGTTATGAAAATATCTTCTAGTTTCCAATTTTCATGATTTCCAAAGAACGAAGAGCATCGCAGAAAGTCAACATATCGAGCCCTAACCGCTAAAATAATGTATATTTTATTTTTAACTTGCTTTTTGATGCATGTGCTCTAAGAGCATTTATCCTTCAAAATTAAATTCGCTTACTTTATTTTCGCGGCTAGGACTCGATATGCATTGCGGCTTGAAGGAAACATGAGACCGTCAAATTTGTGTTTGTTTGTTGAATTCCCTGAACCACCCCTCTTATGATATGGCACTTCATTCTATGTAGTAGTTTACAGGATACAAAAAAGAAGGTAGTTTCAATAAACAACTTTTGACGGATAATACAATTTTTTGAAGTTTCATAAATTGTGAGTATTATCAACGGCCTTGCCACTTTGATAATATTAAAACAATAAATCGGAGTATTTTCTTTCCCATATTTATACCAATGTAATAACATTTCAAATCAAAAACCATTATCAGTGCTTGGTACTTTTTTTTTACTTACGTGGTTCGCACCTTTTTTTATTCAAAATATTTAAAATGTAAACTGTTAAAAAAGATTTCATCGCAATTGTTGTTTTCATTTTGTAATAAAAATCACGCGCGCATTATTCTGGGTTTTTTTTGTTTTCTTATTTTGAATGCAATCTTGCGATTTAAAAATCGAATTCTAAAAAATGTTCTTCCCAAATAAAAACTTTTTATATTTTGGTTCAAATTTACTTTTAAACTTCTTATAAGATTTTGTAAAAAATTAGGCTTTGTGATTAGCGCTCGTCATTAAATTTCACAAATTTTAGTTTATGCAAAACACCTGAAGTCGGCTTGAACAGACCGCCCTCCGATAAACAACTAACAGATCGTCGTTTAAAGTACACAACCGTCATCATCAAACATCAACAAAATGCACCACTGCGTATGTGAGGTTGCATAAATTATTTTGTAGAGAGTAAAAATACTCATATTTCAAAATGGTTCTCTTTTTTTACAAGAAATCGCATTTCAGGATGAATAGATAGAGCTGGTGTGAGCAAATCCAATTTTTGGCAAAAAATGTCGGTTTTGTACTTTAAGCGACGATATGTAAGTATACACTTTCTTCATGCTTTCTGAAACCTAGTCGTCAACCCCATTTTCGAAATCATGTAGCCGGCATAATTTTCTAATTCATCATATTCCACATCTTTGAATGTACTGATAAAATCTTCTGCTTAAAAAAAAATAATAATATTTCTTCTAGTGATCAGGTAGCATGAATTTGATGAAACTTCATAATTTTATTCAAAGTCAAATGGTTAACAACAACAACGATGTCATTAAATTAAACTACCTTCTTTTTTGTATCATGGTAGTTTACATAGTATACATACGTATACTTCTAAAATCACAAACATTTTCAGTCTGTCTTTCTTTGATTTCGAATTGAAAACTCATTGCGATCATATTGTACTAGCAATAAAGAAGTATTAGAAGAGCAAACATTTCCATTATTTATGGAACACAATTTCATTGATGTGGCTGCCTCGACTGGCTTCGCAGTCACGCATCCCGTTAGTCCAGTTTTCTTATATCTTGGTGACGGTTTCTGGCTCCATCTTACGAATGGCTTGCTCGGTATAATCCAATTTATGTAATCTTATGTTTTATGTTTACATGAATATACAGAAATTATAATTAATAAATGAATGAAACACAAAAACAATATTCGCCGTAAGGGCGACGACGTCCCCATGGCACGTGATTCGCTCTACCATTCAAAATTGGCTCTATCAATCTTAATTCCCCATCGAATTACGAAATTCGCCATACAAAATCTTGAGAACGAATTACCTCATTTGTAGGTAATTTTGATCGAATTGCCATGCGAATTACGAACACATCGCTGCCGCCCATGATTCAATAATAGAAAGGTTTTGTAATAAAACAGTCTTCTCGCTCCCACACATAAAATCGGCTCCTTTACTTGTTGTTCACTCTACAGTTACATTAGTAGTAAAACCAAAAATTCTTCATACTAAATATTCGTTGGCATCACCTTCGTTTGCGTAATTTTCTGGAACAAGTATAGAATAGCGATCGTTTAGCTATAAAATAACCAAAAGTGCCGATTGATAGAACTTTTTACGCTAAAAGAAGGTATAAGAGGTTTATTTGCTTTGTTTATTTATATTTTTTTATCACTTAGTTCTTAAAACCCAAAAGTAGATCATGAGAAAATAGTATATGTATCGAATTAAAGATAATCGCGTGTACTTTCTAAATAATATAAATCTCTTTACCATTAATCATGCAGTTTTCTCCAAAAAAGGCTATTTCATGGAAAAGTAACATTTGTTCGTTTTTTAGTGGTTTTGGTTTAAATATGTAAAAAACAATTTCAATTATGTATTAATATTAAAAAAAATCAAAAAATTTAACTTCAACCGTCTTTATATTTTACTTGCGCTAAATAATTTTGGCATGGTTGAAATGAGCGTAAAAAATTCTATTGTTCTGCATTTTTCGTTTTTGCATAGCTGAACGGTCGGTATTCTAGATTTGTTCCAGGAAATGACGAATAACTTAAATTAAAAATCTATATTTTTACGTATTGTTTAGTATTTCCTTTAAAAAACCAAATATATTGCAAATTCACAGAGACACACATTTTACTTCTAATTGTATACTTTGCGCACTTTTTAGTAGCTTTCTACTACCGTTTTCACAAAAGGCGATCACATTCTTCCCCTTTCTCCTACTTCCAAAATACAAATCTAGATAAAGGAGTGTCAGATTTCAGCTGTCACAAATTACATAACCTGAGCTTGGCGCGCAAAAGATCGATTGTCGCATGGGCTGTGTGGCATGGCGCGCCACTCTGCTGAAGCTATAGATCGTTCAAGTCCATGTCTACAGTTTCATGCCTCTGTAGCGCTCACCGTTGTTCGGAATAGCGTTTCCAGCAACATTTTCAATTATTTAAAAACGGGCCAATGATGTCACCGCTCCAAATTCCGCACCAAACTGTCATTATCTGAGGATGCATTCATTGCTTATTCGGCGGTCACGTGCGTATTTTTCGATCCCCAGGTACGGCAGTTTTGCTTGTTAACATAGCCGCCGTGAGAAAAATTTTCTTCGTCTGAAAATATGTCTATGTTTCCCAACGTTGTTCAAGCGTAAAGCGAATCATTCCGTTCCGCAGAGATTTCCAGAGGGAAAGAGCTTTCACTGCCAAAACAACATGATTAAAACAATACGCTATATGGGCCACACGTTATGTAGATATTTTTGGAATCATACCATAGAAAATTTAAATATTTAGCTCTAAACACTTAGTTATGATGGCAGAATAGGAATTTTAAGAACAATTTGATGAGCAAGGACTTTTGAGTTAAACCTCTTCCTAGCACGTCATGTAGTCAATTATTTATTTATTTGCAAATTGTACGTCGGATCCTGGCGTAACCTAAAAACAGTTGAGAGGCTTTAATCTTATGCTGGTCTTGTCGGTGGGCCAAAAATCTGCTGCAAGTCTGGAGGCTGTCAAAGGAAGCATTAATTTACGCTTTGTTCATGTTGCACTCCGGCTGAATGCGGCAGCTGTCAGCAGAGACGAGCTGGCTAAACAAATGGAAGCGGTAGGAATCGAATAAGATGACAAGAAGTCTCCCAGTGAGTCCGAGACAAAAACAAATACGTGATGAGGTGCATGCAGGCAAATCTGCATCA